CACATGGTGTATCAGTCATCAGGACTAATTGTTTCCATGGATCTTTGGTTTTCTTCATTCTCCTTTGCTCTGGAAGAGGAGAGAACCATCATTGCATCTAGGTGGCTGCTTGCAAGCTTTTAAGATCCCAGTTGCTACTCGCCAAAGTAGGAAGTGGAACAATGTTTTGTGTAGTATGTTACACCAGTTGAGCTTGATGTCCCCTGTGACTATAGTCCCAAGCCCACTGGTTCAACTACTTGGTCCCTCTGGGTAGTTGGCTGTGACCAAGCAGTGACTACAACCTTGTCCCTTGTCAGCTCTACTATACCCCTGGGAATTCTTACAGAACATACAAATACACTTGTAGGACCAGTCTGCCAACCCTATACATGGACTTGGGTATACTCCCTGCTGCACAGACATATCTAATAGTTCAGCCTATCCACCTATCTATCCACTAGTATACCCATGTTTGCCTTCACTGACAACTCAGTACTGTGTGTGCAAAAGGGTTCATCTTTATTGTCTGTACCTCCCATGTACCTCTCTATGTCTTCTTCTTCCTCAATGCCACCATGTTGATCACTCACATTTGGTACAATGCCCTTCTCTTCACCCAAATCAATACTTATCTCTACCTGTCTAACAGTGTTCCCTCCCCTCTCCTCCCACCTCTGGTAACCAACAAAGAAAATTTCCTTCCATAGATAAACCTTTCCTAGACTTTTACAATAATGGACTAATTCAATATTTGTCCTTCTGTGAATGACTTATTTTACTCAGCATAATGTCCTCCAAGTTCATCCATGTTATGCAGTATTATGCAGATTTTATTCTTTAGGGTTACATAGTATTCCATTGTGTGTATGTACTGTAGTTTGGTTATCCATTTCTCAGTTGATGGACACCAACAACATAGGTTGTTTCCATCCTTTGGCTATTGTAAATAGTGCTGTGATGAACACGGGTGTGCATGTGTCTGTTCTTGTCATGGCTCTCACTTCTTTAGGATATATACCTAGTAATGGAATGGCTGGGTCAAATGGTATTTCTAATTCCAACTTTTTAAGGAATCGCCATACTACTTTCTACAGTGGTTGCACCATTTTAAGGTTCCAACAGCAGTGTAGGAGAGTCCCAATGTCTCCACATCCTCGCCAGCATTTCTTATTTTCTGTCTTGTTGAACTTTGGTACTAGCACTGGAGCAAGATAGTATCTCATTGTTGTTTTGATTTGCATCGCTTTAATGGCTAATGATAATGAGCGCTTTGTCATATGTTTGTTGGCCGCCTGAATATCCTCCTTGGTGAAGTGTCTATTCATGTCTTCTGTCCATTTTTTAATTGGATTATTTGTCTTTTTGTTATTGAGGTTGGTCAATTCTATCTTTGAGTCCGTGAGCATCTGTTGTTGCTGTTACTGTTGTTAGGTGCTGTCGAGTCGTCTCTGACTTCATAGTGACCCTGTGTACAACAGATTGAAACACTGCCTACTCCTGCACCAGCCGCACAATCCTTGCTATATGTGAGCCCATTGTTGCAGCCACCGTGCCAATCCATCTTGTTGAGGGCCTTCCCCTTTTTCGTTGACCCTCCACTTTACCAAGAATGATATTCTTCTCCAGGGAATGGTCCCTTCTGACAACATGACCCAAGTAGGTCAGACAAAGTCTGGCCAGTCTCACTTCCAAGGAGCATTCTGGCTGCGTTTCTTCCAGGACAGATTAGTTAATTCTTTTAGCAGTCCATGGTATTTTCAGTATTCCTCACCAAGACCACAACTCAAAAGCATCAACTCTTCTTTGGTCTTTCTTATTCATTGTCCAGCTTTCACATGCACATGAGGTGACTGAAAATACCATGGCTCAGGTTAGGCGCACCTTAGTCTTCAAGGAGACATCTTTGCTCTTCAGCACTTGAAAGAGGTCTTTTGCAGCAGATTTGCCCAATGCAATACGTCATCTGATGTCCTGACTGCTGCTTCCATAGGTGTTGATGGTAGAACTAAGTAACATGAAGTCTCTGACAACTTCAGTCTTTTCTCCATTTATTGTGATGTTGCTTATTGGTCCAGTTGTAAGAATGTTTGTTTTCTTTATATTGAGGTATAATCCATACTGCAGATTATAGTCTTCAATATTCATCAGTAAGTGCTTCAAGTCATCCTCACTTTCAGCAAGCAAAGTTGTGTCGCCTGCACATCGCAGGTTCTTAATGAGCCTTCCTCCGATCCTGAGGCTGCCTTCTTCTTCATGCAGTCTACCTTCTCAGATCATTTGCTCAGCATACAGACTGAATAAGTATGGTGAAAGGATACAACCTTGATGCACTCCTTTCCTGATTTTAAACCACAGCATTATTATAAAGCAAAAGAAATATAAAAAACAGCCCTTTTCGTGCTTAAGTTAATCAGAGCAAGTTTTTGTTGACTGTATCCAAGGAGGTCTAACTGATTCAGGAGGGAATATCTCTTCAATAAAAACACAGGCATACTTCAGGCTTTGGCCATGGCAGATAAAAAGGGATGTCCCAGAATGCTCACACAAGTCCTACTTCAACAACCTCCTTAGTGGTCCTTCCTCCGCCAGACTCACTCCCTCTCAAAGCCTTCCAGACCACACCAGATTAATCTCCAGAAACCAATACTTCCATTTCTTTCCCAAACCTACTGCAGTGGTGCCTTACTGCATACAGTATGGATCTTTAACCTTTCGACCAAAGTGGTAGGGAACAAGTTACTAGCAAAGGTAGTAGAGGTGCTAACAGCTATTGGTTCTGCTCCTCTCCCAGTCAACAATTCTCTTCATCCTCAGAGAACACAGGTGGGGCACCAGCAAATGGCTTACAGATTTGTAATCTGATAAAGTAACTCTGGTGGCGTAGTGCCTAAGGCATTTGACTGCTAACCAGAAGGCTGGTGGTTAAAACCCACCAGCCACTCCTCGGAAGGAAGACTGGGTAATCTACTTCCATTGAGATACCGCCTCGGAAACCTAAGGAGGGGTTGCTATGAGCTGGAATCAACTCAACAGTAGTGAGTTTTATAAGTAAAAAGCAATTATGTTTTAAGTATGATTATCCACCTGGCAATATGATTCTGAATCAGATCACCCGTTAGTATTCCTATAAATAAGCAACACCTCATGTGGATTCTTGTGTCATCCGAAGAAGGTAACATCTAGCTAGCTAGATGCGTATGGATCTGAACGAGCCACTACAGGGTGTTAAGAAGCAGTATATGTAAAACAAAATTCTCCCCTTGAATCGAGCCCCTAAACTCTCTCATCAGTCTATTAAAACAGAAGCTCCATGAGAAAGCAGATGGGGCTGACAGGTCATTGTGAAATAAAAGCCTGCTTTGTCAAGTGGAAGTAACTCTAATATCTTAGACTTGTTTACCTATAATCCTGTTCCCTCTGCTCATTCCCTTCAATGCCAAATTCCTACCTTCATCATGAAATGGAAGCTCAATGACCCAGAAATAATTTGAACAAACCTATTTCACTGAGGACGTTTTCATTTTTATCTTCATTAACTCTTTGGTCCCTGTCAAGTATGCCGAAAGCAAGATTTATGTTTTGGTTGCTGGGTCCAGCGGATCTTGAAATTTAGACAATTTGTACATTTAACTCCAGCAAAAAATATTTCATGTTTTATATACAGATACGTCTTGTATAAAGAAAGATGTTTTCTTTTTTGTTAAAGAAAAAACATTGTATTATCTTATTCTCTTTGTTTTTCAATGCAAAGAATTTTAAAGTCAAGAGAAGTAGTATGTTATCCAAATGAACTTCACTAATTTTTTCTCACAAAGAAATATCACACATCTAACAAGCCCACATCTTCTCTTTCTTAAGGGAAAAAGACATGTGGAGATACAACAAGCCTGCTCTCCTAAAATGAATGGTTTGAGTGAATAGCAACTCATCTTGGATGAGTATTTCTAAGATTTTTACAAAGTGTTATTATCGTTAGGTGCTGCTGAGTTGGTTCTGACTCATAAGGACCCTTTCTATGACAGAACAAAACACTGCCTGGTCCTATGCCATCCTCACAATGGTTGCTGCCTGAGTCCGTTGTTGCAGCCACTGTGTTAATCTGTCTTACTGAGGGTCTACCTCTTTTTTGCTGATACTCTACTTTATCAAGCATGATGTCTTTCTCCAGGGGCAAGTTAAAATGCTAAACTATTAGGAGCTCCCACTAGGCCCCACAGCAGCAGCAACTGACTAGATGTAAAAAACACACAGCTCTGAACCTCACCTCCGTGATGCCCATCAAAAACCGTTGCTCTTATTAAACTTTACTTTCTGTAATATGAAGTGGCTCCTCCAAATCTGTGTTCATGAAAATGTTTCTTAAACACGTTATTACATAGACCACTGGCATCTCTATACCTTTCTAATTAATACTAGAATTTGCCATTTTTATGGCCACTTTATTTCTAAAACATATTTATCTTTGGTGAACTCATGCAAACAGATATATCAATGGCGAGATCATGAGAACCAAGTGCTAAGAGCAAACTAAAATCAGAAACAACAAACCCAGAAACAAAAGGTCATTTGTTAGAGGCCACAGAGTATTTTTCAAATACATAATGAATTTTATAATTGATTTCCACAGAACCTGCTTCTGTTTTAAGAAGGTGCTTTCTTTATCAGGATCCTTTAGTTGGAAATTACTATCATCTATTGTACCTCTTTAAGATAATATAAAACAGATTGGCCAAAACTGTGTGTGGAAGGTTTATACCATAAGCTAACTTACAGATGAAATAGTCTTGCAGAACTTTCCTCTCTGGTTAACTCTTAGATAGGATCTGTGACTGGCTCAAAAGCAAAGTTTCAATGTGATAACTTTTTAATCTACAGAATGCCAGTAAGAAGAAATATACTATTCGCTATAGAACTGGGATTTAATCACCATTTCATACGTTGTATAACACAGGACCAGAGAGTTCATCTTGAGGCCAATTTTCTTCCATGGCCCTACAAAACGGTCAAGTAGATCTTACCAGAAGCATTGCTGATGTTCCATTGGGTCTGGATAAGTGGATTGACATTTCAGGAAACATCCTGTCAATGCGGCTGATCACGTCATCAACATATCTAAGTGGGAAAAAAGAGAAACATACATGTATGAACTACAGCCCTACTCAGAGAAATAAAAATCTATAGTTGGCTGAAGACCTGCCTTTTAAATTTAATTTTTATCAACATAAAAGGCAAATAGCATTATAAGGCTTTTTTTTTTTTTAAAAAAAAAAAAAAAGGAAAAACAAAACACTAATCTCCTGTTTCTCCCCTTGTCTTGACCATTATTTTGTGTGTGTGTGTGTGTGTGTGAAAATATATACAGGTCATATCGTACACTCTTGCAACAATTTCTACAAGTATGGTTCAATGACATTGGTTACATTCATAATGTGTATCACCATTTTCACTCTCTCTCTCTCTTTATACTGTTTCACCACCACTGACTTAGACTCAAAACCAAAAACAAATCCATTGCCATCAAGTCGATTTTGAGGCACAGTGACCTTACAGGGCAGACTAGAACTGCCCTTGAGGGTTTTTTAAGGCTGTAGCCTTTAGAGAAGCAGACTTTTACACCTTTCTGGTGGTTTGAACTACTGACCTTTCAGTTAGCAGCTGAGCTCTTAATCACCTCACCAGCAAGGCTCCTTAGAGTCAATGTCTCATAAATTACTCATCTATGCTTTCATTATTATTGTCAACTTGATCTGACATAGAATTAATTCTTCAACAGAGTACAATGCTCAAGGTGAACATACTTCAGTAATTCCCCTAAGCCACTGATTATAGTTTGAAGATGACTTCAGGGGATAGTTTTGACTCAAAGTTCAGTAATTTTCTCAGGGCAACAGATTGGGAGTTCTCCTCCAGCGTCAATTGGTCCTGTTATTCTGGATTCTATAAGAAATTTAAAATTCTGGTCCACATTCCCTCCTCCGTTTTGATCAGGATTCAGCTATTGAGTCCTTGATCAAAATGTTCAGCAATAGCAGCTGAGTACCATCCAATTCTTCTGGTCTCAAGGCAAAGGAGGCAGCAGTTTGTGGAGGTAAGCTGACCTGCAGTTGAGTTCTTTCTCTGCTTCCTTAGTTTCCTTTTTCCTCTGCTACTGCAGGCAAGCAGAGACCAACTGTTGTACCTTGGATGGCCTCTCACAAGCTTTTAAGAGGGGTAGAAAAGACACTCTAAAAGCAGCGTTAGGCCAATTGGCTGGGCAGTCCCATGAGGCCATGGCCCTAAGCCTTCGAACCAAGAGAACTAATCCTGTGAGGTGTTTGGTTGTACCAAAGGAGTTTCAGCAACTGTATCCTCTTTCTTTGGTTGCCGTTTTTTGTTGTACAATTATATATAGCACAACATTTGCCATTTTGCTTTTTCTGGTGTACAACTTAATGATATCAGCCACATTAGTCAAGTTGTGTAACCATTACCCTTAATTGACACCTATTTTCCCATCTGGTAGCGTAGTGCCTAAGCATATGACCGCTAACCAGAAGGCTGGCGGTTCAGACCCACTAGCCAGCCACTCCTCGGAAGGAAGGTTGGGCAATCTACTTCCGTAGTGATAGCACCTCAGAAACCGAAGGAGGGGTCGCTATGAGTTGGGTCCAACTCGACGGCAGTGTTTTTTTTGTTTATGTTATGCAGACATAAACTCACTACTTCCCAGAGAATGATTCCCTTTCTTCCTCCCCACTTCCACCCCAGGTAATCACTAACAATCATTGGTTTCTATATATTTAACTATTCTTGTCATCTCATGTAAGTGGGATCATAAAGTAGCTGTCTTTTTGTAACTGACTTATTTCACTTGGCATGATGTCTTAAAGGTACATCCAAGTTGTAGCATGTATCAGGACTTCATTTCTCTTTATGGCTGAGTAGTACTACACTGCACATATGTAGCACATTTTGTTTATCTATTCATCTCCTGAGCTCTGGTAGCATAGTGCCTAAGACACTTGCCTGCTAACCAGACGGCTGGTGGTTCAA